ATTTGCCAAAAGCAAAATTTTCAGCCAGTAAGGATAATAATGTATATTTAAGTGTTCCTGAGATTGACTCTTACATAATTTGTATGCATGAACAGAGAAATCTATGTCAAGAAAAGTAAACAAGATGAAGGTCATTGTAGACCAAAATCTCATGTTTGCTGGTGCCAAAAAAGTTCACGTTTATGAAAGATTCCACATGTAGCATCCTAAGATAGCAGCCAAGTGCAGCAGTATTTCACCTTTTCATAGTGGAGAGAAAAAAAAGAGCTATTTATTTAACCAGCTGAATGAACTTCAGGCATAATGAAGCTCATTGCAAAACTGAATCATTCTATGTCCAAAACAAAACCCACAAAGATATTGTTTAATGAAGCAGTGCCCAGTGAATCTACAGCAAATAGAAGGCCATAAAGGTAGGAAGATGTTGTGTGTCCTTTGTAAGGAATTCAGTGAGCCCAGCTGCAAGCAGTTGACAGAATGGAGCTTGTTAGGGAGTGCTTACTTTTTGAAGAGCAATGGAGAAGTCTCAAAAACCAAAACAAATATGATTTTCCAATTTGTTATTGTAATAAATAAGTGGTGCACACATGCATTAAAAAACTATATTGAATATAAGAAATTACAAAATGCAGTCTATGTTTTTACATTGTATTAAAGAAACCATTACCAAGATGATGTGTGTGGCTTTGGTTTTGAGACTTAAAAGAAGCTGAGTACACATTCTAGACTATGTATGAAAACAGACAAGAACTATTCAAAGCTAAGAAAATTGCTGGTGACATGAAAGTAAAGGAGCTCAGAGTTTTTGCTTTTATTTATGAAGAATATAGATAAGATACAGCTTTCAAAGCAGGAAATTTCTGCTAATATGAAGGTATTTAACTTAGCATAAAAAGATGTAATGAGATGCAAAAGCCTGAAACTAAAGCTAAATATATTGATTCCACATATAGCATGACATTCTTAATAGTGAGGATAACAAAACACTGGAGCGATACATTTCAGAAATCAAAATATAGAATATCTCATGTAAAGAGAGTACAAATCAGTTTAAACCCCAGTTTTGTACAGAGGACTTAGGCATTTATTTAGGACTTAGGACTGTGGCATTTATTTGTACCAGAATATGCACTGTCCTTAGAAAATTAATGTGCATGAGACATGGAGAAACTCCATGAGGGAACTGTAAAAATATGTATTCCAGGAACTGAAAGTAGCTATGTTCAGAACTGCAAATCTAGGTGCTAAAGGTGCTGTTTCCATAATTGTTATCTTTTGACAAGATCTGCCCTGTGAAAAAGATACAGTTGAAAAACCTTCTGGTTGATTTAGGTGGCCAGTGGTGTGGTTGAATTCTTTGATCATTCTAATACTTGACTATTTAGATAAACCCATTGCTGCTTTTTAAACTGATAAATCACTCAATTCAGTGGAATAAGTCTTCTGCAAGAAAAAAGCTGTCCTATATTCAAGTTACACCCCAAGTCAATTCTGCAGTTGGTTTATGTAATGGAGTAACACCAGCCCACAAGCATCTGCTCTTAGGGTGCTGTATAGTCCTACTCAAGCATGTACCAGTCAGTGCAGATCAGATGACAAGGACTCAGAGCAGCCATGCTACTTTTGCAGCACCCCACAATTCCCAAATGTTTTAAAGGAGAGGCTGTAAATGGAGATTTCCCATTTCTGTATGTATCATTTTATTAAAACTGTAGATGTGAGACCATGGTTTCTGCTCTAATGTTCATTTCTGTACATAGACTGTTCTTAGTCATGGAAGAAATTAGTTAAGTACCCAAAAAAAGTTAGAGCTGCTTATTTACATAGTTTTGGTGTCATTTTCTTCTATGGAAGAGTTTTGGTTTTGAAAAAGGTGCTATATGTGATTTAGGAATTTTTACTTGAGATATCTGCTATCTGCCTTGGAAGGAGGTTCTTTATGACACCTCTTCACTTCCTTGCCCCTGCAAAGAGGAATGAATCACACTGTAGTCCTTGTTCTTGCTAGAAGATTTAATCTCACACTACTGACGAGTCACTGTCTTCATGAAGGAAAACATGTCCTACCTCATCCCCTTCTGATCCTAAGAAGTTAAATACCTGCTGCAAGTGACACTGGCTTCAACTTCCTGAGTCATTTCTGTAGTAATTTGCACGTTTGGTTCTCAGTGAATGCCAAGGACTTGCAAGTCTTTGGATTCCATTACTACTAACCTCTGAGAAGAATGAGACGCATCAGGTCTGTCTGTATCACATAGTAAAAATGAATCATGGAATGAATAAAAAAGCTGTGGGGTACTGTGGAAAGTGGTCACAGATCATGCTATTAAAAGATTTAGTCATTGTTACCTCTCATCATGAATGTAATCATTCACTGACAACTTTAATTTCTAGGATGTGAGACTGTAAATTCTTGGTTACCAACGTATTATGCTGTCATGGAAGTCTGCATCTTGGAAGATGAATCCAAGTATTTAAAATTAGTCATCTTAGCAACTGATTTTTTCCCAAGTAATTATAAGCTTTTGAATATCAGGATGTTGAAACACTCAGTCAAAAAGTGTTGCATACAAGTGAATGAAGAGCAGAAATCCTATTTCACTCTCACAGATCTTAAAACCAGGATTAAGTGTAGTTTTCAGAAAGAACACTTTTCTTTTAGAATGTTAGTACTGTCACACTTTCACTGCTTGATGCACGTAATTCTAATTCTACTTGTTTTGCTCTAGATCCCAAAAGACATCCGGACATAGTTTCATCTTTTTTCCTTTTATGTATAAATTAGGATAATCTGGCATGACTTTGAAGGCCCCTGGGGGATCCAACATAGTGATAAGAGAGAAGACATTGACTAGCTTTTATTCTTGAAACCCATGGTGTCTACTTTGCAGTATTTAGATGTACTGGTCCCCCTTTTAATATCCTCAGAGATACTCCATTCTCCCTGATAGCAGAGTCATCATTTAATGAGAAGGCAAAAGTAAAAAGAATAAAGTCAGTCCTAAGCCTGAGCTGTAGGTACTTCTGCTGTATGTCCTGTTGTAGTACACTGCTATGAAAAGATTTGATGAGGTAAGGTCTACTTCTCCATGCTTGGCAGCAAAACACAGAATTTGCAGAAGATGGGCTCAAGTGCCAAGAACATGTGCCAAGTCATCATATCTCTTCAGCTCCTTCTGCTGGAAGGGCCTCACTGCAGCTCCCAGAATGTTTGAAAACCACCAGCAGTCAGTGCTAGTGCTGCTATTTAAGCATCAGTTCTCACTTCAGGGCAACTGGCCAGAATGAAGCAGACAGCACAATTTCTCTCTTATTTTAGTAATTTGTGAGTACTTTAGTAATTTGTTTTTCAGGGTGAACACTGATGCATATAAATGTGAATTTTTGGAGAATGCTTTGTTTGTTTGGGATATGCTGAGTGAAATAATCTACTTTGCAAGGATGTTTCCTAGAAAACTGACTTAGCATGATACTGAGCTGATGCTGAAGGGTGACAGATGCTTAATCAGGACAATGCAGCTGTAATTTTCATTAAGAACAATCATTAAGTAGTGCCATGTATTTGCACTGAGTATTAAATTCAGATTTAAAGGAAAGCACTTTTCTCTTAAAAGTTCCAGTTAGCTTGAAATCCCAGGTGGATTGGTGACTTGCTTGGTTGGTTTTGGTACTTTCTCTCACGTTACAAATGGTTGTTAAGTGTTAAAAAAGAGTGCCACAGAACAGTCATTCAGAATGGACCAGAGGATTACCATCAACACTTAGAAAGTGCCTTAGACTACAATACATCTTTATTGTCCATTTTAAATATGTTGTTTAAAAGATTCAGGGTTTTTTTATTTTATCAGTTATGATTGTATCCATGACTACAGCTTGGGAGCAAGCAGCAAATGGAGTTATTTCTTTTTCTCTGCCTTGCTGTTCTGTAACATAGTTACGGTGTTTTATACACAACTTTTCATCTATATACACAAGTTTTATAAAACTCTATCTCCCTCTTACAAATAGAGAAATGAAGGCTCAGGTAAGAAGAAATACTTCTTTCCCCCAAAGGTTAACCACTCGACCAGCTGACAAAATCAAGAGTGGAGTTCAGGTCTCAAGGTAAGTGGTATCCATTAAGCTGCTTGTTTAACAATTGGAAGAGCAGTTGTTTTATACTTGGACCTTCTAAACCTCAAATTTGCTTATTAATGGATTATACTTTCTGGAGGCCAATATTAGAATGGTTCACTGTACATCTTTCTCCTGTGAAAAGGGAAGTAAAGATTCTGACACTTACCTGCAGCTAAAATGAGTGGACAGTTGGCTTTTTTTGGTCAGGGTTCACAATATGCTAATATGATTGTATATTACAAGTGGATCAAGTTCTATATTGTAAAATATTATTTATAATCATAATCCTGATATTTCTAATATGTGGTGTTTCCTAAGTTTAACACATTATGGTTGCTAATAATTTATTTCATATTTCTCCTCTTGCCTTACTTTTGATCTTCAGTAATTTTCTGGAACAACAGTTTCTTGCTAAAGTCTCTGACTCAGATGAGAAAGGCCATCGTCCTCTAGGTTAAGGAGATGAAAATTTAGCATGCACAGAAAAAGACCTGAAGAGAACAGATAAAAAGCTACATTCATTATCTATCTAGTCTTAATAAGTACAAAAATCTGGTACATTCATGTGTTATATAAACCAGTAATGCATAAAAATAAATTTAAGATGCATCCTGCTGAATTTATATGTTAATTCATGTACTTTGTTTTACAGGAAAAAAAATAGGCTAGAACAGATCACTCACAATTGCACATGTTTCAGGTTGCTGATGTTGGTACTGCAATTAGAATAGTGGAATGTCAGCATGAATCCTTTTGTTTTACAGAAAGCAAGAAGAATTGAGGTTAATTAAAGGTTAATTAGAGTTTAATTGGTAGTTCTTTCTTTCCCTCTTTACTTCTGGTGATAACAGGAATGTTAGAATCCTTGACTTTGATGACAACAGATTGGGCAGGCCTGGTGTTGATTGCTACTGCCAACATGAAAGTGGTGCTGCAGTTCTGCAGCTCCAGTTCTTAATCAATGAGGTAAGGACATAATTACTCAAAAATTTAGTTGAATAAGTCAATTCATGTTATTGTAATTGAGTGATATGACTTCTCCAACTGACAAATTGTGCCAACAAATAAGTGGTGTACATCCAGAGGACATTCAACATACAGCCTTTTAGAAGAGTATTTATGGGACTGCACTCAGGGAAGAGTATTGCCTTCCTATAATCAGTTTAAAGTACTGAACAAAAGGCAGTCAATACATGAATGTATGTAAAAATATGTAAAATACATTAAGTTACTAAATATGCTGCACACTTCTGGTTCAAATAGAAATTAATAAATGAGCAAAATCTTTCTATAAAAATATATTGATGGTTATTGGCTGAAAACTCAGTAGTTGGGGATATGCCATTACATGAAGCAATTGCAGGGATCATCAATCAAACCATCATGCTTAGTCTCTGTCAAAATCAAATTTAGACAACATGAAGAATCAGTGCCATATTATAGCTTGCTCTTTGTAGAAGGTTCTGAAGATGGGAATAGGCCAGAAAACTTTCTGTTGAATACAAATCAGAGGTTTGTTTTTTTTTTTCAGTACCTTAGAAGTTGGCCAAATCTTAGTTCAGTTTTGATTAATTTTCTCTCATGACATAAGGAAACACTTTTGACAGTTGCAAGTCCTCTTTGTAAATGAGAAGACCTTAAAACTTCTCAGAGGAAGAGTTTTAGTTTTATGGGTTTTTTAAAACCTGAAAAATATTTAATTTTTTGCTACACCTATTTGGAGAAAGCAAATGAAGCACGGACACTGAGGAGGGAGAACCAAAACTTTAGAAACAGTCCGGTGAAATTCGTAAGAGGAATGGAGGGATGAGAACAGGAAGGACGAAGTTTAAATCACTAATCTTGCTTTTCATTGGGTGACCAGCAAACCCCCTAATACATTGGATTAATTTGATTTCCATGGTGGACAGTCTTTATGACACTTTGGGAGATGAGAATTGAAGTATGCGTTACACTGTATTTGAGAAGTCTCACCTCCATAAATTTTATTTGCATGAGTCAACATTGAACATTTACTAGGATTATAGAAGTTTATCAGTCAGTCACAGATTGTAGGAACTAATCTTTCCGGTTACATGCTTCTCCTTCCTCAGTATAAAGCATCACCTTGTTTTTGGGTAATCTGTTCCCCTCTGTCATGGTAATTAACAAGGGTAGATCTGTGCCTGGCCTGATCTGAGGTGTAAGTATAATGAACCACTGCAGGAGCTGTAGGGAGCTTCCCCTACGAGTAATTTTCACATGTCATCAATATTCTGTGGTGAGGAGAAAGGCAGTTAAAAGTTCACTCCAAGTTTCTCAGTCAGATAGAGGCCTGGGCTTTGAGAGATGACCATTTTTGGGACACCACAAGCAGAACTAGTCTTCAGAGTATTTCTGATCTGTGATAAAGACTCTCTCCCTCTGTCTACATCTCTTAGTTCTTCTACATCCTGTCCTCTTGCTACTTGTCCCTACTTTCTCATCTGCTCTTTTCACAGTTCCAGTTTTGAATTTTCATTTTTTTGAATTACCTTGATATGACTACTAAGCTGTGCTTGGCACTGTCACATATGTGCCTGTGCATGCACTAATCCCTTTTTTCTTTAGTAATGTCTTTGACACTCACCTTTTTAAGTAAGTGTTGTCTCTTTTCCATTTTGTAAATCTTTCTGCTTATGTGGAAAGACTTGAGAATTGGCTTGTGTAACCTTGGTACAAAGCTTTAATTTGAATATTAAATTGATGGAGTTTTAATTTAACTTTGGCTGATCTTGTACTAATTTAAAATGTTTACATTTACCAGATCGTTCAATTGTGTATTATTTGTGGTAGAGTATTTTTGTTCTAGAAGAAACTTTTTTTTTCATAAACTGTCAGTTTTACAGGTAGATCTTTAGCAGTGAGAATCATGTAAGAATAATACAGAGCCTGCAGAAAAATAATGTGTTGTTGTATTTTGTGTCTGCTCTAGGGTGCTTTGGTCAGTGCGTGTGCAGATGACGCACTTCATTTGTGGAACCTCCGACAGAAACGACCAGCTATTCTACATTCTCTGAAATTTAACAGAGAAAGGTAAGAATACATGACACACAGTAGTGATCTCATTGCAAAAATAACACTTCCTGGATTCCTTATGCTACATTTTGCCTTTCTACAGGTGGATTTAATTTTGCCTTGAATATTTTTATTTCCGGTTTGTTTCTATGGAACAAAAACTTCCCTTTCTCTTTCTGCAGCTTTCTTAGAACTAGAAAAACTTGGTCGTCTTTTTGCCAAAATGTTCTTCATTTTACTTCTTTTTGCATGAACAGCTGTGAACACTAATTTGTTTTTTCTTCAGACTGGACACAAGCACTCACTTTTGGCTGAACTGTTGTTCAGTAATAGAGTACTTCAACTGGCTGTATGAGGGTAATAATTATTTTCTTTACCTTGAAATAATTTTATTTTTGTAAAATACTGGAAGTTTAGTGGAAATAGATCATGAATTTGGGAAACTCTGATAAGTGTAAAGTGAATCAGAGTGTTTTTCTTAATTTTACTTTATCAGTACCTAATTGTAGAAATACTAAAAAGAGATTAAATGAGTGATTGTAATTTTTAAACTCAAACAGGAGCTGAGCACTTCAATCTGTATTTAGTCACCCAACCTGATAGGATGTTAGGGAACTTCAGTGCTGCACATCTATTAATAGTGAGAAAAAGTTCCAAGTTTCTCTTAAGGAATTAGGGCAGTAGTCAGGAGACCAAAATTCTGTGCATAAATGCAGCAGTTGTTTTTAACTGGAAATTTAAATCATATTTTCTTTCTCTTTGCATGTGCATTCAGTGTTTATTAAGGTGCACCAACTTTTTTTGATATTTATATATTTGCTTGTGCAGTGGGAAAAGATTCCACTACTTCACCAGAGCTGTGAAGTGAACAGACTCATCAAATCTTTAGCTGCAGCAAGTCTGAAAATTATTATGGAAATACATTTTTCTTTGTTCTTTATTATCTAGATACAAATCATATTTCCACTAAAATGTCACTGAGGTTCATGATTTGTAGTGGGAAGGAAATATACAACCTGATTCCAACGAGTTTATAGCTTATAGCAAAAGTGTATCAAGTGGTTTGGAACTCTGTGAGGGAAGATGAAAATGAAAAATTAGGTGTGCATTCTAGCTGCTTCTCGACAGTAAATTATCATTTTACATATGGTGAAATGTTTGAATCTTGGTATTCTCATCAGGTAGGTGCATTATTCACAATTTGTCATTGATAAATCTAAATATCATAGAAGCAATTCCAGTACATCTCGGTCGAGCTCTCCCAGCCAGCAATCTGACACACAACCTAACCAATCATTGCTTATAAGAATGCAGCCTCTGTTCATCCCTGCCTTCTGTTCAGAGATATTAACCTGTTATCTTGGTCAATATTTTATCAGCATTTCTTGCTAAGAGGAACTCACACACATTTGCGCTTTGCTAAGAGCAAAACATTTGTAATCACATTTACCAAATTTTCTTTTTTGTCTGACGCCCTAAAACATTGAGCAAGATATTTGCGTGCAAGTTGTTTAGAATACTGGAAAACTTGGCTTAAAAACAAATTTTCTCTAATGACATTTTTGAATGAGGTGCAAGCAGGATCTGAGAACATAAGTTATTTGTAACAAATGCATAGCTAACTGTACTGCTTTTTATCAAAATCTAGTATGTTGTGAACAAAAAGTATATTTAAATAGATATATAAATATACATAAATATATAACATTTATGTAATATATAAAATATACATAAGTATATAATATTTATGTATATTTTGTGTAACTGGTTCAATTGCTGCCATTTAAAGAATTTTTATTAGCACATCAGAGTCTGTGAGGCAAATATCCTGCAATATGATGCTGTCAAAGAAGTAAGGCTAGTCTTAAATTAAAAAAGAGTTTTCCATACTTATGAAGAAATAACACTGTAGGCAGTTCATGCCTTCTCAGGGTTCTCTAGCACTGCCCTAAGCTTCTGGTTGTTTTTTGTTTCATTATTATTCAAGCACTTAGCTTCAGAATCAAATATCTTCATTTTTATTATATTTTCTTTTTACATCCATATAAATTCATTTTAAATCATCTAACTTTCAATTTTCTAAGCTCAATTACACATTTAATATGTAAAATTCAACATAAGCCTCTGGGCAAGTAGCAAAAAAGTAAGGCTAAAGCTCTAATTAACCCTCTCAGTTTGGAACGTTTATATGCCTAATAGAGCTAAGTCTAAAAGAGAACTTTCCTTTTTTTCTGAATATGTTTTTGGTGTCAGAGGACAGAAGCTCTAAATTATGGAATGCTCAGAGAAATAGTGAATGAAATAACAATTTCCCTAGCTATGTGAAATCTATGACAAAATTAATGTAAGGGGAATTTGAGAAGCTGATATAGTGATAAGATCAGAATTGATTTTCTTCAAGAAATTCAAAGGTCTGGCTTCCAAAAAATAAGGTTTCCTCACTTAGGAACTGTTAAAAATACTTTATTTTCATCCTCCCCTCTCCTCTTGCAGAGGGGGGTTAAGAGAAAGCAAGATTCATATTGAATAGAGATTATTTTGTCTTAAGTTTGTGAACCAGTGAACAAGCTGGTTTTAAAGCGTTTCTTAAATGGGGAGAAATGCTTGTTGACAGAAAATAGGTTTAAATTATTGATGTATGTCTTCAAAAAATACTAAGGTATTGAAAGATGCCATATAGGGAAGTGTTAAAAAGTCAAAGGCTAGTTCTTATAAGATTATTTCTAATATAACTTAATTTTAGATTTAGGTAGCTTTCACAGGGCCAAACACATAATTGTTCAGGTGCATTTTATATATGAAAATGGAACATGTGAATCCTTCAGATTTTTCCATTTGCATGTCTCTCTTCAGGTTTAAAAAAAATAATAATTTTATTCATCCAGTATGTTTGTCTCCTTGTTATACTGTTTGGTTTAGTTGGTTTTTCTAACAAATGGCAGATTTACTTCATGAAGTGATATAATATAATGCACTTAAAATTCTAATATTTTATCTGCTTGTGATGATGAAGATGATTTTGTTATTCCAAATACTTGTTTTATTTGACTTTGATTAATTCACTTTCATGTAGAATCAATTTATTCTGAGTGTTTTTTTGTATTTGGTGCATGAACTATAGAGCTGGTAGTTTCTGTTAGACAGATGAATGTTACTTAATTCTTTGGCTATTACTCACAATGCACCAGTCATCATGTAGTTGAATTGTTTAATTTGCAATTTGCTCCTGCTTCTTGACATTTAAGATTTCAGGATAATGGACTAAAATCTGCTCTTTAGCAGTGTTTCTATATAGGTTTCTGCAATTACTTGAGTCAAGTTTCCCCAAGTGCATACATGCATATATCCCCTCTCTCCCTCCCACAAAAGTAAAAATGTTTGTTCTTTTCCTTGGATGTTGGTAAAAACATAGTTGTAAAGAGCAAAGAACACTTAAAAGCAGTATTCTTTGACTCAATAGCTAAGATTCAGTGTTAAGACACTGAATAGTTTATGAATAATAATTCACTAGCAAAGTGCACTTTTACAGCTATTAAATCAGAAGGTGCAGCTTCTCCAGATTTAGCTTTTTCTTCTTCTGACTTACTGTTAAACCAATGATGATGCAGCACAAGCAATAATAATTCATAATTCACTGTTCCTTGACTAAGTATCTCTTTGGAGCAAGTGTAGAAGAAACACTAAAGAGACGTAATGGCAAACAGATATTTTCTGGTTTACAGCATAATGCTCTGAACTTTTTTGGACTTAAGCTGATTATATATTTTTGCCAAAATATATATATTTATTTTATATGAAGTAATAATCTTAGATTTCTATAGCTATAATTGGAATGTAATACAATGCAGTAAGAACTTTCAAGAAAATACAAATGTAAGCAATGTGTCTCAGTGCTTGGCTCCATACCAAGAGCTGTAATGATAAGACAGTTACTCAAAGACATGTTTGACAGTAGCATATGGTTGATAATACATAATTTATGGTTTCTCTTACAAATAGGGTAGACAGGTAGAACATTTTAAACTCTGTAAACATTCTATAAGAATTGCCTCAGTGTTTTTAAGGTCAAAATTGTGGACACCTTCCATATGTTAGTACCTCTTTTTCCTTCCTTGATGTCATAGGAGATGCCAGATTGATCTTCAGTAGGCATTTTAGGCAAAATAAATAACTCAGCTACTGGAACTAGACACTGTCTCAATCTTCTGCAAAGAACATTAGGATTAAGCAAAACCACTGGAAACTATTATAGATCTTCATTATTTTTAATATAATCAGAGCAGATTTCAGCAAGTACAGCTTTAAATATACAGCAGCTTACAGATTCTCATTCAATATAAGTGCAGCTGGGTGAGGAAAACCAGCAAGGATTGCAGTGTGAAATCCAGGCCCTGTGAGCCAGCAGGAGCTCATTTCACTTATGAGCACAGTTCATCTCCTGGCATTCCGAAGCTGAGCTGGTTCAGGTGTGCTCACTGTCACAGAGGGGGACAGCCCTCCTCTCTTTCTTCTCTCAGCCGTTGCTGACTGGTGTGTGACAAAGGAGCCCACAGTGCTGCAGCAGCATAGCCAGTGACTTACAGCAGCACACCTGAGCACAGTGTGACACAGAGTGTCATTAAATCCATCTGCATGCACTCCTCACTACTGGCAAGACAATGCCACAAGTGCCCTTCTGAGGGGAGTCACCAGGTGACACAATCTGTATAATTGGCTTGGAGACTCTTAACACTTTATTCAGTGTTAAGTTATGCTGGCACAGAGCAAGAGGAGCCTTTTAAGTGGGCGAATTTTAGAGCAGTTGTGTTAACTATAACTCACTATTAATTAGAACTTTGACTCCTACAGTTGAGATCTTGAACAAGATGATTGAGAGTATTACTCCAAATGCTTGGAAACAAATTAAAACAAACCAAACTCAAAATTAAAAAAAAAAAAAGTTTTTAAATAAGGTAATTTCTTGGGTCTATATTCTTTCCTGACAGTAGGAATCTTGTTTGCCTTACTGTATCTTTGCA